ATAATATATATCTTTACTACTTTATTAGTAAAAAGTAAGGCTAGAATATTACTTTAGGGGGCTATTATTAAAATAACTTTATAATATATTATTTTTAGTTACTTTATATATAGTTTTAAAAGTAAATAGTAGTAGTATTAAACTAGATATAGTTAGTATAAGTAATATAAGATATAATTATATTAGCTAGTTTTTAGTAAAATAGTATAAGTAAATATAATAAAGAGGCTACTTCTCTCTATATAACCTAAGTCTAAAGGCTATAGACTATAGCTGTCTTTAGCTACTAGACTACCTATAGTACTAGGCTAAATACTCCTATATTATAGTGTTTAGTTAAAGTATTACCTTTAACTAGACTAAAGATTACTTACTTTAGTAATTAAAGGTCTTAGTAAGGTATAGTAAAAGCCTCTTAGTATACTTTTTAGCTTTTATAGTAGCCTTTTAGCTATATTATACTTTTCTTAAAACTATTTACTTATCCTTTATTATCTAAAGCCTAACTTTTAGTTAGTGTACTTTAAATAGCTTTATAAGGGTAATATTCCTTTGTTATAGAAATATACTATAGAAGCTTTAGTACCTCTAGAGAAGTAGTTACCTAGGTAGTCTATAAGCCTAGAGAAGCCTAGTATAAATATAAGGCCTTTATATCTACTATTACTACTAGTTAGGTTAGTAACACCTAGTAATACTTATATAGAAGGTATTACTAGTAATAAGTAAAGATAACTATAAGTAAACACTAAATAGCTATAACTTTAGTATATAAACTACTTTCTATAGTGCTTTAACTTTAGTTAGTTACCTATAGGCTTTACCTAGTATTAAAGTACTATATATATTATAAGTCTTAAATAATCTAAGGTTTATAGCCTAGTTAAGCTATACTATAATAGCTTAAAGGCTTTATATAATATATATTATAGCTTATATACTAACTATAACACTAGGCTAAATACTCTTATATTATAGTATTTAGTTAAGGGTATTTACCTTTAATAAGACTAAAAATTACTTACTTTAGTAATTAAAAGTCTTAGTAAAGTATAGTAAAAGCCTCTTAGTGTTTATTATAGTTCTTATAGTAGCCTTTTAGCTATATTATACCTTTCTTAAAACTATCTACTTATCTTTTATTATCTAAAGCCTAACTTCTAGTTAGTGTACTTTAAATAGCCTTATAGGGCAGTGTTCTTTAGTTATTAAGATATACTATAGGAGCTTTAGTACCTCTAGAGAAGTAGTTACCTAGGTAGTCTATAAGCCTAGGGAAGCCTAGTAATAATAAAAGGCCTAGTGCCTAATATTTTTACTAGTTAGGTTAGTAATACCTTATAATACTTTAGTAAAAGGTACTTTTAGTAATAAGTAAAGATAGCTATAAGTAAACACTAAATAGCTATAACTATAGTATTAGAACTACTCTTTATAGTACTAAATTCTAGATTAGGTGCCTTTAAGCTTAGCTTAGTATTAAAGCACTATAATAGCTATAGGCCCTTAAAAATATCTATATTCTTTTATTATTCTCTATATTAAGACCTTTAGCTAGATAAAGATAGCTATAAGTAAACACTAAATAGCTATAACTATAGTATTATAACTACTCTTTATAGTACTAAATCCTAGATTAGGTACCTTTAGGCTTAGCCTAGTAGTAAGACACTATAGTAGCTATAGGCCTTAAAGATATCTATATTTACTTATTATTCCCTATATTAAGACTTTTAGCTAAATAAAAGTAGATATAAGTAAACACTAAATAGCTATAACTATAGTATTAGAATTACTTTTTATAGTACTAAATCTTAGATTAGGCACCTTTAAGCTTAGCTTAGTATTAAAGTACTATAATAGCTATAGGCCTTTAAAAATATTTATATTTACTTATTATTTACTATATTAAGACCTTTAGCTAGATAAGGATAGCTATAAGTAAATACTAAATAGCTATAACTATAGTATTAGAACTACTCTTTATAGTACTAAATCCTAGATTAGGCGCCTTTAAGCTTAGCTTAGTGTTAAGGCACTATAATAGCTATAGGCCCTTAAAGATATCTATATTCCCTTTTATTCCTTATATTAAGGCCTTTAGCTAGACAAAGATAGCTATAATTAAATACTAAATAGCTTTAACTATAGTATTATAACTACTCTTTATAGTACTAAATCCTAGATTAGGCGCCTTTAGGCTTAGCCTAGTATTAAGGCACTATAATAGCTATAGGCCCTTAAAGATATTTATATTCTCTAGTAGTTTAATATATTAAGGCCTTGTACTAAATAGTTTTATTTATAGGCTATAACTATATAGCTTAGTTAATATATATCTTAGTAATAATATAGCCTTATAAGTATACTATAATAGCTACTAGTAGTAGCTATAAGGAAGACTTTTAGCCTATAGGCTAGTTTTTACTATAGGTAAGGTTTATAATATATATTATATCTTATAGGGCGTATATAGTAGTGTTTTAGATAAAGGTAATACTTATATAAGGTAGCCTTATATAAATAGGCTAAATCCTCTTAAGGACTTATAGTTAACTAGCCTATAGGCTATATATTTATTTAAAGCCTAATAAGGATAAACTATAGTATATATATTAAATATTAAGCTAGTAATTAAAGTAAAATTAAGGTAACCTAGGTCTTAGTCTTTTCCTTATATTAAGAGGACTAGTAACCTAGGTTTTCTATATATCCTAATTTACTATATAATATTATACTAGTTATATCTTATAAGGCTAAATAGTATAATCTTAATAGTAATATAATTAAAGTAAGTAGTATATAGTATAACTTTTTTATAGGTTAAAGAAAAAAGTACCTTATACTTCTCTTAGTATAATAAATTTATCTTGTCTTAGGATAAATATCTTAGACTAAATATATAGCCCTTAGAGTAAGACTAGACCTAAACAAAGGGTCTTATAGTAGTAATATAGGGATAGTTAACCTCCTTTATAACTACTATAGGATATAACCTAAGTAATAAATAGTCTTAAGGATTAAGGGAAATAGTGTATAGTATAGATAAACCTAGATATAGTAAGATTCTAATAACCTATATAAGGACTTATATAGTAGTAATAATAGGATAGTTAACCTCTTATATAACTACTATATAATGCTCTTAAGTTAATAGGTTAGTACTAAGAATAAGGGGTTATTTCTTTACTATAGAAGGTTAAGGTATAGAGAGGTTTTTTTAGCCTAGTATAATACTTATATAGTAGTAATATAGGGATAGTTAACCTCCTTTATAACTACTATAGGTTATTTTTTAACCTATAACTAGCCTTTACTAAGTAGCCTACTGCTAAGGTATATAGTATTAGGTAATAATAAGGATACTACTATAAATAGAATAAAGGTTATTAGCTAACCTTAAGGGAACTAGTACCTCTTATATTATAACTACCTATACTAACACTAAGCCTTTTATTTTTATTCTAGCTATATAGGAATTTACTAATATATACTAGTAATAGTGTAGTTATATATATTATATATTCTTTTATCTTTTTAACTAGTCTTTCTTTACTATCTCTAGATTATTTTTAACTCTTATAGGTTTACTATATCTATGCTTATATATTTCTTTTTTTTTAGTAGCTTTAGGTAACTTATAGTTATTAAGGCTTTATTATATTTAGGATTTATCTAGGGCTTTAGTACTATATTAATAAGGCTTTATTAGTTAGTTTCTAAGGCTTACTTATATAGGTTTTATTTACCTTATGCTTTAGTAAAGGACTTAGGAGGTATAGGTTACCTATTAGCTAATTTTAACTAAATATCCTATATATAGATGCTTTATTAGTTAGCCTTAGTTAGAGATAGTACTTAGCCTAGCTAGTTTATTTAGGCTAATAGTTTACTTTTATAGTAGTTTAATTAAGGTTTATATTACTTAAAGTGTTTTATAGATATTATATAAATAACACTAATAGTTAACTATAGTCTCCTTAGGAAAAGGACTAGTACTTAGGGTTTCTAGGGCTTACTTATATAGGTTTTATTTACTTTATACTTTAGTAAGGGACTTAGGGGGTATAGGTTACCTATTAGCTAATTTTAATTAAATGTCTTATATATAGATACTTTATTAGTTAGCCTTAGTTAAAGATAGTATTTAGCCTAGCTAGTCTATTTAGGCTAATAGTTTACTTTTATAGTAGTTTAATTAAGGTTAGTATTACTTAAAGTGTTTTATAGGTGTTATATAAATAACACTAATAGTTAACTATAGTCTTCTAAGGAAAAGGACTAGTACTTAGGGTTTCTAAGGCTTACTTATATAGGTTTTATTTACCTTATGCTTTAGTAAAGAACTTAGGGGGTATAGGTTACCTATTAGCTAATTCTAACTAAATATCCTATATATAGATGCTTTATTAGTTAGCCTTAGTTAAAGATAGTGTTTAGCCTAGCTAGTCTATTTAGGCTAATAGTTTACTTTTATAGTAGTTTAATTAAGGTTTATATTACTTAAAGTGTTTTATAGGTGTTATATAAATAACACTAATAGTTAACTATAGTCCCCTTAGAAAAAGGACTAGCACTAAGTAGTACTACTATATATAATTATTATTTTCTTACTTTATTACTTTTATACTAGCCTAGCTAAGTATTACTTATTAATAAAAGGTTATACTAACTATTTTTAAATAGATAGGTTTTTACTAGGCTTAAGATAACCTAATACTTTGTCTTTACTTTTACTTTTTTACTTAAGTAGTATACTAAGAGGTTTTATACTTTACCTAATTATAACTAAGGCTTTTAATAAGTACTATAGCTACTTTAGTAGTAACTATAGTATAAGAAGAGTAAGTAAATTACTAATATATTTTTTAAATAGTTACTAATAAATAGAATTAGTTATACTATAAGGTAGCTTATTAAGATAATAAAGAATAAGAGAGTAAAGGCTATAGGTACTTATATTAATTCTTTAAATTATAAATATACTAATTACTTAGACATTAGTCTATCTATATATACCTTATAGTTTATTATAAGTGTTATTAGCTATAAAGATACTTAAGTAAAGAATATAGTAATTAAGGCACTATAAGAAGCGCTAAGAGAGGCCTAGGAATATAAGGAGAAAAGACTTACTTTTACCTAATTCCTAATATAGAGCCTTAAAGGTAAACTCTCCTATACTAGATTCTTTAAGACTTAGTTAGGTAGCTAGATTAAAAGTAATACTCTACTTTACTATAAGGTTAGCTAAGAACGTTAGATAGTAGTAGTTATACTTACTAGTAGAGTAAAGTAATAAGGCTATATTACTAGTTTTAGTAGTAGTGCTTTTTAAAAGATTAGTAGTCTATAAAGGAAAAATTTTATAATCTTTAACTTTATATTTATAAAGGGGATAATATTATAGATATAATAGTATAATATACTATAGAAGTAATAAAATATTTTACTAGTAGCCTTAAGAACCTACTTTTTAGTTATTAGTGTTTAGTATTTTATTAATACTTTAGAGAGGTTTTTAGACTTATTAGTTTACACTAGAAAATAAAGTTTAAAAGAATTAAGGGAATAGTAAAGTAGCTATAATAAGGTTTAAAGTAAAGATAAAGATAAAGATAGTAAAAGTAATACTAAGGTTAAGACTAAAAAACGTTAAAAGTACTACTATATAGTGCCTAATAGTAATATAGAGACCTAGTATATAGTAAAAGAGACTAGTAAGGCTTATATTTTGTCTAGGAAATAGGTCTTTCTAGAAAACCCTTAGTAGGTTAGGTCTTATTTTACTTCTTAGTAAATAACCTTTTTAAGTAATTAGCTCTAAGGTTTTAATACTAATAGGACCTTTTTAGAGTAAAAGAGCTAGTATACTTAGAATATAAAGTTTTACTTTTATAGCTATTTTATTATAAGTAGTAAAAGTAGTTATAATTAGTAGTAGCTATCTATAGTAGTAGTAGTCTATAGAAGTAGTAGCTATTTATAGTAGTAGTAGTCTATAGTAGTAGTTTATAGTAGTAGTAGTTATCTATAGTAGTAGTAGTCTATAGTAGTAGTAGTCTATAGTAGTTATTTATAGTAGTAGTAGCTATCTATAGTAGTAGTAGTCTATAGTAGTAGTAGTCTATAGTAGTAGTAGCTATCTATAGTAGTAGTAGTCTATAGTAGTAGTAGTCTATAGTAGTAGTAGTCTATAGTAGTTATTTATAATAGTAGTAGCTATCTATAGTAGTAGTAGTCTATAGTAGTAGCTGTCTATAGTAGTAGTAAGCTATAGTAGTAGCTATTATTAGTAGTAGCTAAAGTAGTTATCTATAATACTATCTATCTAGTAACTATCTATAGTATATATTTATACTTAGTAAGGTGTCTTAGGTATATAGTAGTACTAGTCAAGGTTTTAGCGCTAGTTAAGGGTATATTAGGGTAAGTGTTAAACCTTACTTATTACTTTATAATCTTACTTCTTTTCTAAAATCCTAGTCTTTTCTATTCTCTTTAACCTTAACCTTTTGCTTTCTTTATAACTTTAACCCTTTACTTCCTCTCTAACCTATACCCTTTACTTCCTCTTTAACCTTAACCTTTTACTTCTTTTTTAACCTTAAACTTACTTGCTTTCTTTAACCTTTACTACTGTTCTTTGCCCTCTTGTATTTTTTTTTTCTTGTTCTCCTCTGCTTCTTTATCCCTATATCTCTACCTTACTTTTTATCTCTATTACTCTATATTTTACTGCCCTTTTAACTACCTTTACTCTCTTATCTTATCCTTCTTCTTTACTACCTTGCTCTCTCTCTTTAACCTTAACTCTACCTTATATTTATACTTTCTCTTGTCTTTTCTTGTCCTTTTACTTATCTGTTTTTTTACTTTTTTTTCTTTTTTCTGTCTTTACACCTATATATCTCTTCTATATTCTTCTTTTTTTTTTGCTCCTTTTTTTTTCTTTTTTTTCTCTTCTTATGCTTTTTCTTTTTTACTTTTATTTTTCTCTTCTTTTTACCTTATGCCTCTGCTTTGCCTTTCTTTACTATACCTATTGCTTTACTACTAAACTTCTTTACTAACCTAATCTATCTTATTTTTCTCCCTACTTATAATACTTCTTTCTTGTTTATTACTTTATATTATATACTATTATACTCTTTTTTTTACCTTTATATATATATATTCTATTATTTATTCTTACTTATTTATTTATACTAATAAATATATATATATATATATAAATATTATATACTTACTTACTTTATTTAATAAACTTATTCTTTTAACTTTTTTTACTCTATATTATTTACCTTGTATATTAGCTTTTTCTCTTTTGCCTTTGCTTTCTTCTCTCCCTTTAACCTTAACCTTCTTGCTTTTGTCTAACCTAGACCTTCTCCTTTTTTATTATTACCTTACTACTCCTTGTCTCTCTTCCTTATGTCTACCCTTTTATCTTCTCTACCTCTCTTTTTATTTATGCCTTTTTATCTCTTCTTCTTCTTATTATCTTATGCCTTTGTTCTCTCTTTAGCTTTTCTTTATCCTCCTTATATCTGCCTACTAGCCTCTTTTACTTTACTTTTCCTTACTATATTTATTCCTTAAAACCTATACTAACTATATATAACCTTATTACCTTTATTATTTATTTCTTTTGCCTTCTTACTACTAAATACCCTATATTAATAATCCTTTCTTTAATTTTCTCTATATTTATACCTATTGTCTAGTCCTTTACTTTATCTTTTATCTTTTATATTTATACTATTCCCTTAATCTCTATATTAACCTTTGCCTTATATATACTTGTCTTTATAAATATATACTACTATAACTAAATTAAAACTAGCTTTTTAGTCCTTAACCTTGCTTTTTCTTTTTAACTTTAGCTATTTTCTCTCTCTTTAGCCTTAGCCTTTTTTTCTTCTTTAACCTTAACCCTCTTTCTCTTTAACCTTAACCCTTTTCTTCTTCTTTAACCTTAACCTTACTCCTATACTTAAACCTTAGCCTTTTCTCTTCCCTATAACGCTGCCTTATGCCTATTTGTTTTCTTAACCCCCTTTCTTTTTTTTGTCTCTTAACCTATATATCTTCTCTATATTCTTTTTCTTTATTCTCTTTCTCTTTTTCTACTACCTTTTCCTTATTTTTATCTTTACCTTACTCTTCTTCTCTATACTTATTACCTTACACTATATATCTCTACTAATATAATATATATACTTTTCCTCTTACTTTAAATCTTTTATACTTACTTTTTACCTATATAATATTTTAATATACTGTTTTTATCTACCTTTATATATATATATACACTTATATTACTAGATATTTATTAATATATAGGTATAAACTTTATCTAACTAACTTAATCTTTATTCTTCTTTTACCTTATAGTACTACATGTACCTTGTTACTATAAACTATATATATAAATAATAACCTTTTCTAACTATACCTATACTTTAAAACCTTTACTAGCTATATATATACTTTTTATTATTACTAATTATATCTCTACCTACTTCTAGCTAAATACTATATATTAATATACCTTTATATTATTTCCTATATATTAATACCTATAGTTTTATCCTTTACCTTTACTACTGTCTTTTACTACTATACTACTCCTATTATATTTATATTAACGTTTACCTTAAACCTACTTAGTTCTATTAATTTACTTCTATAACTATATTAAAACTTACTGTTTAGTCCTTAATCTTGCTTTACCCTTTTAACCTTAGCCCTTTTCTGTCTTTTAACTTGACCTTGCTATCCTCTTTTTTCTTTTTACTCTGCCTTATACCTATATCCTCTTTTGCTTTTGTCTTCCTTCTGCCTATTTATTTTCTTAACTACTTTTCTAATTCCTGTCTCTTTGCCTATACTTCTTTATTCTATTCTTGCTTTACTTTATACTTCCCTTTTTTCTTTATTCTTTTGCTTTTACCTTACTTATACTTCTTTGTCTTATCTTTATCCTCTCCTAAGTATATACCCTGCTTAGCCCTTTTTTACTATACCTATTACTATATACTATATATCTTTATTAAATAAATAATATATACTAATAGTAGAGAATATAGTAATATAGCTAATTTACCTACTTAACCTTGCCTTTCTACTATATCTTTAACCTTAAGCTATTCTATAACCTATAACCTTAACCCTTTATCTTAATAACCTTAACCTAGATATCTTTACTTTATTTTACCTTTGCTTTATATAACCTTCTCCTCTAGTGTCTTTACCTATATAATAAACACTATATACTTATAGAACACTATTATATCTCTATATAGATTATAATACTTACCTACCTATATATATTAATACTTTTTACCTTTTGCTTTTCTTAGTCTTTTTACTACTATTTTAAATCTAACTACTATAAATACTTTACTTTTACTATATAATGTACTACTTATCTTAAGTACCTTGTCTTTTTTCTTAGCTTTCTATAATACTACCCCTCTACCCTATATAGCCTATAGCCTATAACGCCTATTCCTCTCCTCTATTACCTTATTCTATAGTAGAGCTATTATATAGTAAAGATAACTAGCCTTAATCTTGCCTTATTTAACTTTACTACCTAGCTAGTAGTAGAGTGCCTCTTTTTCTTAACTAGGTCTTCTTCCTATAGTACCTCCTCTTTATCTATAGTATTAACTATTATCTATTACCCTACTACTTTAGGAAGCTATAATATACTACCTATAAATATAGCTACTAGTACTATACTAAACTAGTAAGCCTTTAGCCTAGCTAAGAACTAACCCTGTTTCTACCTTAGCCTTTAACGCTTATATATATACTAGGGCATCCTATATTAGAAGTAGCTAGAGAACCCCTTAAAGTACTACTTAGTAAATATCTTAGCCTATATAAGTTAAATACCTTACTAACCTATACTTATTAGCCTAATGCCTTTTATAGGTATACTATAAATATATACTTACTACTATTATTATATTCTTTATCTTATAGTATAGAATATATTTATTTTATACTTAGTAAAGCTACTAAAAAATATATTAACCTTTTTACTTTTTATATTTACTTCTCTTAAGCTACTAGTAGTTAAACTACCTTTATTACTTTATATAGTATACTTTACTACCTAGACACTAGTAAAAGACACTACTACTTTACTACTAGCTACTACTTACTACTACCTATAGTATATATTATATACCTCTTTATTATCTTTATAGTAGAACTAGTTTATTTTTTTTATAACTAGTCTAGTATATTACTAGTACCTACTGCCTACTATATACTTCTCTATTACTACTTTACTTTACTAACCCTTTTCTTAGCCTACTATACTACTACTAAAGCACTTAGCTAACTATTTATTTAGCCTTACTACTCTCTTAGATAAAGTACTATAGTATATATAGTATCTAGTGTAGATTACTACCTAGACATTAAGTATATTAATACTTAGCCTAAGTGTATTAGTTACTATAATAATGCCTTTTAACTTACTACTTTACTACTATACCTCTAGTTATACTACTTTACTTTTAACTAAGTTAATACTACTAAAGAATATTAAGTAGCTAAGTGTTTTACCTAGCTACTTTACTTACTTAATAAAATCTATATAGATAATTACTTTCCTTTTTACTTTTTTTACTATAGCTACTTTACTTATATAATAATAACTTTATAGACCTTAGCCTTAACTATATTCTCTTTACCTTTATAGTAACCTTTAATATTAAGAATAAAGCACTAGATATTCTTCTATATTATATAGGACTAGAATATAACTACCTACTATAGGTTAAACCTTATACTATAGAAGAATATAGCCTTGTTGCCTAGTATAAGTGTTACTATTAAGTAGACTATTTATACCTTAAACTTATATACTACTACCTTAATCTTCTATAGCTTAGGCTAAAATATTATACTTCTCTTAAGCACTATATAGCACTTATCTATAATAACCTAGTTAAGTGCCTACTTTACCTATAGCTATAAGATAAAGTCCTAGAACCTTTTATTAACTACTAACTTAGGTATTATAAAGATAATAGTAGCTACTTATAGTGCCTTCTAGCTTAACTATACTACTAAGCTAATACTAGCCTTAGTATAGTATATATATAGGTCTATCTATAGTAATATAAGTAGTATTACTATAATTATTACCTCCTTTAGTAAGTAAAACACTAGTAGTATAAATAATATACTTTTATTACTACCTATACCTATAATCTATACTACTAGGCTTTACTTATTAGTAATTACCTAGATAGCCTACGCCTAGTTCCCTTAGAATATTACCTCTAGTTAGCCTATTATTTACTTAAGCTACTCCTCTAGATAGACCTACTATAAATACACCTATTACTAAAGCTAGGCCTTTATCTAGACTTTATTATATAGCTTTACCTTTTACTTTACTTTAATCTTTAACTTTACTTATACTTTATAGTCTTTTACCTTAAAGTTAAAGAACTAGTGCTACTACTAGTTAACCTAGTAGAACTACTACTACTTAGCTATAAACCTACTACTAAACTATATAAGTAACTATAAGTAAATAAGCCTAGTTATTTTATACTATACTTAGCCTATAATCTATATACTATTATTTATATTATCTACCTCTTTATCTTATCTAGGCCTTTTTCCTAGGCTACCTAAATACTTATTTAAGTACTAGTTAGTAATAGTAATAGTAATATACTACTATATACTAATATTAAGTTAGTTACCTAGTACTAGCTACTATACTACTATATAATCTACTATAACTAGTCTATTATTTACACCTACTTCTCTTCTATATTTATACTACTACTTATTATTATTATAGCTACTGTCTTAGCTAGTGCTACTTAGCTACTTTATCTCTTTATTTAGCTTCTTTTACCCCTTATAGAATCTTATTAACCTAGAAATATACACTATAGCCCTTAACCTAGACACTGTCCTCTATACCTTTACTAAAATAGTACTAGCTATAGATACTAACTAGTAGCTTACTTACCTCCTATAGTAAATACTAATAATTACCTTAGCCTAGCCTATACTATAGAACCCCTTATAGTACACTATTATAAAGTATATTAAGCCTTATATATAAATATATTCTAGACCCTTTATTAACTATATTACTATACTAGATTTTACTAGCTTATTACTTACCTAGGTTAACTACTAAGTATATATATTAGTAGCTATAGGCGCTTATAAACTACCTAAAAGTGTACTTATACCTATTTTACTATTAGTAAAGACTTTCTCTTTGCCTCTTTTACCTTACTACTGTTAATACTTTACTACTATACTAGTTAAGTAAACCTCTAATCTAGCTAAACACTTAATCTTTCTTATTATATCTATATATTATAGTTATCTTATATAAATAAGTACCTAGCTACTTCTTACTGTAGTTATCCTTAATTAACCCTTATAGATTACTAGTAGTTCTCTCTTAGCCTTTCTCTTTACCTAGCTTTTACTTACTATTATTAGCTTAGTAAGTAGTTTTTAGCCTTTTATACTAGACTATATATTATATTAAAAGCTAGCCTATACTAAAGTGCACTTACTAGAACAAGATCTTGTCCTTAATCTAGTTAATATACCTAAGATTAGTATATTATACTAGATCTTTAACCTTATTATATATATCTTTAAGATCTAGTCTATTAGGTTAGCTTAGTGTCTAGTGCACTAATATCTATATTATAAACCTTTATACCTTAGTGTATATATATTAGAATATACTAGGACTTGTCTTAGCTACCTCTTTTTAATCTCTTTTTTTTCTTTTATAGTGTCCTTTTTTTAATAGTAGACTAGTATATAATAAGTATTAGTTACTTTAATAATAGCTAAGTAATTATTATATAGTCTATTACTTTAACCTAACTATATCTTTATTAATACTTATAATAGTAAGTGCACTAATTAAGATATTTTTATAGTTACTTACTAGATTAAGTAGTCTAGAATACTAATAAGTATTTAAGTACTACTTATTTTACCTTATTAGTATATTATCTAGTTCTCTAATATTAAGTGCCTCTTCTTCTATATAATAGCTTTAAAGTAGTCCTATAGTTAGCTTTACCTCTTATTAGCTAATATAGTAGCTACTTATTATTAGTTATCTCTATATATAGTACTAATATAAAGTAGCTTCTACTAGACCCCTTATATTACTCCTATATCTAGTCTTCTAGCTAGTTATTAAATAGCCTATATAGCTTAATATATACCTTGTTTTACTACACCTTAAATAGTATAGTGTTCTTAATAGTGTTAAGGCTTAACACCTTATATACCTAGTTTAAGACCTCTTTATTACTTTTATATAGCCTAGAGTACTCTTTTCCTCTATAATAGACTTTATTATCTTTTATAGTTTACTTATTAATAGACCTTCTAAGTGCTTTAGCTACTTTATATAACTTAGCTATAAGTGTATATTCTATTTATTATTTATACCTTAAATAATGTCCTTTATTTAAGAACTAACCTATTTAGCCTTTTTTAGTAAATCTATATAATAATATTATATACTAATGTTCTTGTTAGCCTAAGCTAAGTGCCTTTGTCTACTTTCTCTATTTAGTTAACCTAAAACTAGTAGTAGTTAGCTTATAATAAAAAGAAGCGCTAGTATAAGACCCTCTTTCTCTATAGTAGATTCCTTAGCTTAGAAGCCTTTCTCTTTATATTACCCCCTTCTTTTAGTTATTTACTTACTTATACTTATTATAGTAGTACTACTATATAACCTATAGCTAGTAGTAAATATAGCTATATATTATATACTTAAGCCTATTATACTCTAGTAAAGTAAAATACTTAATAAGCTTAGTTATTAGTTCTAGTAGTAAAAGTACTATAATACTCTCTTAGATATAGATAATAGCTAGGTATACCTAGATAGCCTATATAACCTCCCTATGCCTAGTAGCTAAGAGAGATTAGTGTCTTATATAAAGATAGTCTTTACTTATTAGTAATAACTATAAGCTAGTATATTTTATAGATAGTAAAAAGAACATTAGATTATAGATAAATAGTTTATTCTATTAGTGTTCTATACTATTATTAGTTTTATATCCTTAAACTACCCCTTATACTATAGAGTAAATAAAGAAATTTATTATACTATAATATAGAGACTATATTATATAAGCTAGTCTATAGTTATATTAGTTAAATTATATAATTATATTTAGGTAGCCTATATATACTCCTTTTTAACTATATTAGAATATTTCCTTAGATAAAAACTTTAAAAGTATAAGTATAGATATCTTTTTAATTAGTATAGTATAGGTATATAGTTAGTCTTATTTACACTTTTATTTATTTTACTTTTATAGGTTTTTACTAAAAACAAGAGTATAGCTTACTAATATTTATCTAATAACTAGCTATACCTTTGTCTTTAGTATCTTATATCTTTTTAGTAAGTGTTCTAATAAGCTATACTATAGCTTATTATATTCTATAGATTAGGGTAAGGAGGTTAAGGTTCTTATTAACTATATAATAAAGTACCTAAGGCCTTAAGTAAGTATAAGTAGATTAGTGTCTTAGTAAACTTATAGCTAAGGACAAAGGTAGATTCCTTATTAACGTAAGTAATAAGGTTTTTACCTTAGACTTAGCTATAAGAGCATTATAGTTAATAAGGCAGTAGTATTACTCTCTAGGTCCTTAGTATAGTAATAAAGGTAGTAAATAGATTAGCCTCTTTAATAAAGGTAATAGTAGTAGCCTTATCTATATTAATATCCTAGAGAATAAAGTTATAATAATTAAAGGCTACTAACTAACCTTTATAAAAGGTAGTATTTATACTACCTTTATTATCTTTATTACTATTAGGTGCCTATAACACTAAGGCTACTTAGTTATATAACCTAGTAGTAGTATTATTATTAGTAGCTAGTATACCTTGTCCCTTAGGGTCTAATATCTATAGGTACTAGGGAGGCCTTTTATAATTATAGAGATATACCTAAAGGTTTTACCTCTTATGTATAGTGCCTATTATAAGGGTTTATCTAGGAGTAAAGAACTATAGGAGAGTATATTACTATAAAGCTTACCTTAGTACTAGAGCTCTTAATAATAAAGCTAAAAGGCTTTATATTTAAGGCTAAGTATAAGTTAGTACTATTAAGAAGCCTTAGGTAGGTCTATATTATTTACTTAGTTAATATTAGCTATATAACTTAGGGTATAATAATTTAGGTAAACTTGTCCTTTTACTAGTAATAGGCGCTAGTAGTATAGTAAAGGCTAAGATATAAGATCTATAAAGGGATCTTATACTTACGCTAGACCTTCTCTAGAAATAATATAATTAGGTAATAGGTTACTATCTTTAGCCTTAAGGTTATATATATAGGATAAAAAATACTAAAGTAGCTATAATTACTAATATAACACTTCTTAATATATAGGTTATAGGATATACTATAGGCTAAGATAAAATCCTAGTTAAAAGGTTAGCTTTACCTTTACTAAAAAAAGGTTAGCCTAGCCTTTACCTAGCTATATTATCCTATTAATATAATCTATAGAACCTAAAGTACCTATAGAGTAATAGTAAAGAAATAGGCTAAATAAGATAATATACTAGCTATATATTAGATAAATTAGCCTAGAATTATATTACTATTACTAGGTAGAAGGTCTTCTATAATATAATAAGTTATAATATTATAGTATTAAATAGTCTAGTAGTATAAGGGTAAGTAAAAGGTAGTACTAAAGGCCTAGATATAGACAGCCTATTCTAGTTAAAAGGTTAGCTTTACTTTACCTACCTAGGAGGTTAGCCTTACTTTTACCTAGCTATACTGTCCTATTAATATAATCTATAGAATATAAAGTACCTATAGGTAATAGGTAAAAAAAGGGCTAAATAAGATAATATACTAGCTATATATTAAATAAATAGACCTAGCCTTTGCCTAGAAGGCCTAGCCTTTACCTAGCTATACTATCTATTAATATAACCTATATAAATATAAAGGACCTATAGAGTAATAAGTAAAAAAAAGGCTATATAAGATAATATACTAGCTATATATTAGATAAATAGGCTTAGCCTTTGCCTAGAGTGTTTTACCTTAATAAAGGGTGCTACTACTCTAGCTATAGGATAAGATAATAATTAGTGTATATTAAAGGAGAGACTAATCTTCTTCTAGAGCTTCTATAGGTATATTAATCTAACCTTATGTCTAAGAACTCTAGAAGCCTTCTTCTAGATAAATTCTAGGATATAGTAACTATACTATAGAAATTAGTCCTCTAATATTACCTTTACTATTAATAAAAAGCTTTTAAGTTTTATACTTTTTATTTACCTTTATATAAAGGTAAATTAAAAATCTTAGAAGATAACTTATTATTTTTGTCTTAAGCTATAGAAAGATAACTAATAATATACTTTACTAAGTCTATAGCCTATATAAATCTAGTATAATACTATTAATACTTAGTTAATAGGTTTTTAAGCCTATAGTAGACATTAGTGTTTTATTTTTTAGTAATTATAGTACTTAAGTATAAGTATATCTATAGTTTAATACTATAGTTAGTTCTAAAGAGCTATAGTTACTAATTAAAGTTCTATAAAAGGTATACCTTTAATAAAAAGCTACTTATTCTTTCTAATAGTATACTATCTATATATATTCTTTATAGTAGAACTATATTCCTAGATACTAAGGTAGCTATATCTTATATAAATATAGTTATTACTTATAGTACTTTCCTAGTTAGTAGTATTAATATAGATAGTAAATTAGTCTAAGTTAAATTTAATATTACTACTATTACTACTATAAACTTAATAGTACTCTTCTAGTAGTAACTAAATAGCTGTCTACTTTTTACTAGCTTAATAAAGAGCTTTTATTAGTCTTACCTTAGTAAAAGGATTAGTATATAATAAAGGTACTTAAGGGTATATCTATAAAGACTTAATTAATTAAGGTAATAAGTATAGTAGAAAGTATAGTTCTTACTTATAAGCCTTCTTTATTTAAGCTATTTACTTATAAATAAGTAGTTTTTATTAAGTTTATTTAAGGCTTAGGTACTATATATATATATAAATTACTAGTAACTAGGGTAGTTAGTACCTTTAACGCCTAGTAATAATATACTCCTTGTAATTAGGTAAGCTATTAGTAGACTATAAGTCCCTATAGAGGTTATTCTTAAGGCCTTTGTAGTTATCTAGCTTTTATAAGAATTTAGGGTCCTCTTAATTAAAGGAAAATAGTTATTAGGATTATCTATACTACTACCTAAGAATAAGAATTAGTAATCTATTTCTATAAATTTTAGAAAAGAGGAAAAATAAATATACTACTTACTATATATTATTAGATATTTAGATAATAAGGTTATATAGTACTACTTCTTTTATAAGTATTAAGCTATTAAGTATATAAGTAACTAAGATAAGTAAGATAAAGTAAGTACTTATATATAGATAGCTATATATATATATACTATAAACTATATAGATTTTACTTAATAGTAAGACTAAATAAAGATTATTATAGTAGCTTTTGCTCCTAGAGACTAAGTAGTAGTTCTACTATAAGTTATTAAAGAAATTAAAGAAAAGTTAACTAAGGACTACTATCTAAAAAGACTAGAGAATAAGTAAGTAGTATACTATTATAGTTATATATTAATAATATTATTATATAGAAGGTAGTTATATAGCTTACTATAAGGTCTAATATACTTTAGCCTTTTTTATAGAGGTAAAAAGAGTAGGCTATAAATAGAAAAAATAAAGAAGGCCTTACTAAAGATAAGTTACTTAGAGGTAAAAGGTTAATAAAAGAGAATAAATAAAATAAACTATTAGAGAAAAAAGTTAGTGTTTAACCTACTTAGTTAACTAATAAACCCCTAGGAAGTATACTAATAAAGGGAGTAATTATTTCTATAGTAGTATTAATATATAATTTATATAACTACTAAAGTTAAGTTATAGTATAAAGAAGAAATATATTACTAGAAAAAAAGTATAAAGTTTAGTCTTACTTTACCTTTACCTAGTAAAAAGGTTAGCCTTACTCTTGTCTATATATTACTAAAGACACCTATAAAAGGCCTTTTTTTACTAACTTTTAAGGCTAAATTTCTTTAATCTTAATAGTGTAATTAGTATTAATAAGGCTTTAGTGTTTAGGTTAATAGCTAGTTTCCCCCTTATTATAGTGCTACTAAAGGATAGATTTTACCTCTTTATTACCTAGATAAAAGGCACCTACTACTCTAGCTATAGAATAAATAAAAAAGGAGATTATATTAAAAAAAACCTAAAGATAAAATAAAAAAAGAAAGTATAGGCTTAGTAAGTTCTATTATATAGATAAATTAATATCTACTTTATAAGATACTTACTTTTATAGCCTACTTAGTGTAAAAATAAAGTTATTTTTGTCTTTATCTTAATATAGCTTAAAAAAAGTACTACTAAAGCCTAGATAAAGATAGCCTACTTTAGTTAGAAGGTTAGCTTTACCTTTGCCTACCTAGGAGGTTAGCCTTACTTTTACCTAGTTAGTAAGTTAGCTTTACTTCTACCTAGCTATACTATCTTATTAATATAATCTATAAGAATATAAAAAACCCTTAGAGAATAGTATTAATAAAGAGGATAAATAGAATAATATACTAGCTATATATAAGATAAATAGACCTAAAATTATATTATTATTATTAGGTAAAAGATCTTTTATAATATAATAGGCTATAACGTTATAGTATTAAATAGTTAGGTAGTATAAGGGGTAAATAAAAGTTACTTAGCTATAATATAATTAAAGAGGCTAAATAAAATAATATACTAGCTATATATTAGATAAATAGACCTAGCTATTACCTAGAGAATAGCCTAGCTTTACCTAGCTATATTATCTTATTTATATAACCTATAGGAATATAAAGTACCTATAGAGTAATAGGTAAAGAAAAAGGCTATTTAAGATAATATACTAGCTATATATTAGATAAATAGACTTAGCCTTTACCTAGAGGTGCCTACTTATTAACTTATTTATCTATTTACTTATCTATTTAGCTTTATCTATATATTTTCTCTAGTATAAAAGTAACTAAGGCACTAGCTACTAACTAGCTTACTAGTAAGCCTATCTATATAATTTAATATACTTATAGAAATATTTTACCTATTTACTTATTTATCTTATATAACTTCTACTAGCTTACTATAAACTAGCCTAGCCTTTGCCTAGCTATACTGTCCTATTAATATAATCTATAGGAATAAAAATATCTATAGAGTAATAAGTAGAGGAAGAGGCTAAATAAGCTAATATACTAGCTATATATTAAATAAATAGACTTAGCCTTTACCTAGAGGTTAACCTAGTCTTTACCTAGCTATATTATCTTATTAATATAACCTATAAGAATATAAAGTACCTATAGAGTATTAGGTTAAAAAAGGGCTATATAAGATAATATACTAGTTATATATTAGATAGATAGACTTACCTTTTACCTAAGCGTTTTACTTAAATAAAGGGCGCCTACTACTCTAGCTATAGATAAGATAAAAATTAAGATTATAATAGAGAAAGGACTAAAGATAAGATTAAAAAAGGATTATAGGCTTTATAGGGCCTACTATATAAATAAATTAACCTCTACTTTATAAAATACCTATTTATATAGCCTACTTAGTGTAAAAGATAAATTTATTTTTATCTTTATCTTAATATATATTAAAAAGGTACTACTAAAGGCCTAGATAAAGAGGGTATTATAGTTAAAAGGTTAGCCTTACTTTTGCCTAGGAGAGTAGCCTTACTTTTGCCTATATACTACCTAGGTCCTATATAAAAGGTGCCCTTTTTATTAACCTTTAAGGCTAGATTTCCTTAATCTTAATAGTATAGTTAATATTAACAAGGCCTTAGGGTTTAAGTTAACTGCCTATTGCCTTATTCTCCTTAGTTATAGTACTACTAGAGGGTAAATTTAGCCTCTTTTTTACCTAGATAAAGGGTACTTACTACTCTAGCTATAGGATAATATAAGAGATAAGATTATATTAAAAGAAAGACTAAAAATAGGATTAAAGAAGAGACTAAAGATATAATTAAAGAAGAGATTATAGGCTTAGTAAGGCCTACTATATTAATAAGTCCTTATCTACTTTATAATATACTTACTTTTATAGCTAACTTTACTATTAATACTTAGTTAATAGGTTTTTAAGTCTATAGTAGATATTAGTGTTTTATTTTTTAGTAGTTATAATACTTAAGTATAGATATATTTATTTATTCTCCCTTAGTTATAGTACTACTAGAGGATAAATCTAGCCTCCCTTTTACTTAAGTAGAGGGTGCTTACTTCTCTAGCTAGAAGATATAATAAAAAATAAGATTATATTAAAGGAGGAATAAAAGATAAGATTAAAAAAGAGATTATAGGCTTAGTAAGGCCTACTATATTAATAAGTCTTTATTTACTTTATAATATACTTACTTTTATAGCCTACTTAGTATAAAAAATAAAGTTATTTTTGTCTTTATTTTAATATAGCTTAAAGGAGGTACTACTAAAGGCCTAGATAAAGAGGATATTATAGTTAAAAGGTTAGCTTTACCTTTACCTAGGAGGTTAGCCTTACTTTTACCTATATACTACCTAGGGCCCTTATAAAATACCCCCTTTTTATTAACCTTTAAGGCTAGATTTCTTTAATCTTAATAGTATAGTTAATATTAGTAAGGCCTTAGTGTTTAAGTTAACTACCTATTACCTTATTCCCCTTTAGTTATAGTGCTACTAGAGGATAAATTTAGCCTCTCTTTTACTTATATAGAGGGTGCCTACTACTTTAGCTAGAGGATAAAATAAGAAATAAAATTATATTAAAGGGAGACAAAAGATAAGATTAAAGAAGAGAGTAAAAATAAGATAAAAGGAGAGACTATAGGCCTTATAAGGCCTACTATATAAATAAGTCCTTATTTACTTTAGAATATACTTACTTTTATAGCCTACTTAGTATAGAAGATAAAGTTATTTTTGTCTTTATTTTAATATAGCTTAAAAGAGGTACTACTAAAGGCCTAGGTAAAAAAAGTATTATAGTTTAAAGGTTAGCTTTACTTTTACCTAAGAGGTTAGCTTTACTTTTACCTATATACTACCTAGGACCCCTATAAAAAGGCCCCTTTCTATTAACCTTTAAGGCTAGATTTCCTTAATCTTAATAGTATAGTTAACGTTAATAAGGCCTTAGGGTTTAAGTTAACTACCTATTACCTTATTCTCCTTTAGTTATAGCGCTACTAAAGGAAAAATTTAGCCTCTCTTTTACCTAGACAAAGGGTGTCTACTACTCTAGCTATAGGATAAAATAAGAAATAGGATTATATTAAAAGAGAGACTAAAGGTAAAATTAAAGAAAAGACTAAAGATAAAATAAAAGAAGAGACTATAGGGTTTATAAAGCCTATTATATAAATAAATCCTTATTTACTTTATAATATACTTACTCTTATAGCCTACTTAGTATAAAAGATAAAGTTATGTTTTTTTCTTTTTAATATAGCTTAAAGGAGGTACTACTAGAGGCCTAGGTAATAAGGGTATTATAGTTAAAAGGTTAGCTTTACCTAGTGTATTAAGAAAAAATACAAAATATAATACAAATACAAAATACAAATACAAAATATAAAATATAAATATAAATACAAAGATGTATTTGTATTTTATTTTTGTATTTCTAAAATACATATATTTATATTTTAAATATAAATACATGTATTTATATTTATATTTTATTACAAAAATACATAAATTAAGGGTTACTATTATTAATATATAATTATATAGTTAATTATATTATAAATTAAAATATCTAAATCTAATGTATTTATAGATATATTTATAGTCTTAGTACTATAATTATTACTATAAAGGTTAAGGTATTTAATAGTATCTTTTTACTAGCTTTAATATTCTTCTTATATATTAAGATATATATAAGTAGTATAATTACTATCTTTTAACTATATATAGTTACTTTTCTTTTAAACTTAAAATATCTTAAGAACTACTAATACTAAGATTTCTAACTCTACTAGTATAAAAAATATTAAGCAAAATATTATTAATATAATAGTCTTTTACTACTTTAATATTACTAGTAGAAATAGTATTATTATTCTCTTCTTCCTACTTATAAAAACTATAACTAATACTATTTTTAATAGTATTAAGTATATAATTCTAGTAGTATTAGTATATACTATATATATTATCTATATTACTACTATAAAAATATTTACTTACTTTAAACTCTTTATTATTACTATTTATAGTAACTTCATTATTAAATAATTTATATAATAGAAGTTTAATACTATTACTTTTAATATTCTCTTTATACTTAATACTTATATTATATAATATAGTATAAGGGTTAAAAATATTAAGAGTATTAATATTAAAACGATCTTCTAAGTCTATTTACTTTATTTCTAAAGCTTCTAGCTCTTCTAGAATAATAGTATATATAGTATTAATAAAGTTATTATTATCTTCTAATAACTTAACTATATTTTCTATAGTAAGAGTAGAATTATTATTAATTAAAATATTTAAAGAATTATAATAATTAACTTTATCTTCTAGTTCTTTAAACTTAGTATAGTATAAAGTACTTAAACATATAGAGTTATTTTCTATTCTATAACGTATATATATAGTAAGTAGCGTATTATAGTAAGTAGCGTATATCTACCTACCTTTCTATCTTTTTAATAACTTAATTTAACTAGATTATATAAAATTAATTAAAAATATATATTACCTTATTCTTTATTAGTATCCTAAACTACCTTATAGGTTTATACGTTATATCTAGTCTTCCTATAATTACTATATTATTATACAAGTGGTTTACTACTCTCTATATAACCCCCCTTTTAGGATATTTCCTTACCTCTAGCTTTAACAACGTCCTTTTCTCCTTGTAGTGCCTCTACTTTAGCTGTATTAAGTAATCCTCTAAGACGTAGTTAGGTCTTTTTAGCCCTCTAGCGCTTACTAAGTACCTTTATCCTTGTATAAAGTTAATAGTTCTTTACCTTAATAATAGTAAGTTAATATACTAACTTACTAATACCCTTTAACTATAAGTTAATTACCTTATATATTAGTGTTAGTAAACTTCCTTAATAGTCCCTAATCCTTTTTTTTAATAAGGTAGAGCTTTATATACCTTTAATTACTATTATTAGTGTCTTTAAGTCCTATAAGCCTAAGCTAGTTAGATATAAGTTAACTAGTGTTAATATCTTTAGCTTAAAATCTAGGCAAGAAATAATAACTTTAGGATTAAAAGGTATAAGACTAGCCTATTAAAAACCTACTTATACATTTATTTCTCCTATTAAAGTAAAGAATACTACTTTAAAGACAGGAAAAAAGTCATCCTTAGTAATATATATAATTTATATCTATATTATTTTCTTAATTTCCTTACTATATAAGTGCTTTAAAGGGCTAAAATAGCTAATATTAAGAGGCTAAAGCTTATATAATAAATAAGGAGGTATATATAAAGTAATAATACCTTCTTCTTTATAGTAGTTATTAAATTTAGTTAATTTATAGCTATTATAGCTATCTAGGATTAGAAGGCAATAAGTACCCTTTATATAAGACTTTATACACTAATTAAAGTGCTTTAGCTAATCTAGGCTAATCTTGTTTATAGTCTATCTGTTTTTACTTAAGTAAATATACTATATAGCTAGAAATTTACTATTAAGGTACTATAACAGAAGGTAATATTTACCTTTTATAATAATGTACAAAGGTATTACCTAGCTATCTATATATACACCCTAAATAACAGAAACCTATTTATAATTACTAGGCTACTTTATATAAGGCCTTCTATATTAGTTAGAAGTTATAATAACCTTTATATATAATAGTATTCTTATTAAGAACCTAGTC